TATCTGCTACTTTATACTATTTTGTCAATAGGTTAAAAACTTGGCTGAGATCAAAAATGGGCCAGGATCGGCTTACAGGGTTGGCATTATTAAACATTCATAGATCTATAGAAATAAATGTTGATGATGTAATAGATCGATTCACAAGTCTTAAAAAAAGAAATATAGATTTTGTATTGTTAATAAAAATTCTTTAATAAAAGTGCTTAAATAAATAATACAAATGCATTATTTTTTTATGTCTAAAAAAAATGTTTTTAATTGGTGGGGGTGGTTTACTCCTCTTAATATCGCCCCCCCCCCTAGGTAAAGGCTCAAATACGCCACTGTTTTGCATCATCATTTTACTTCAAACAACTGATATCCAAAACTATATTATAGCTAAACGTTTATCGTAAATAACATTGCAAGCTAAAGCTTTGTAATTCTGTATGGTTGTAATTTGTTCACAGCTAGTGGTGGTTATAAGGGGGGGGGGCGATAGGTGGATCGCCCCCCCCCTTGGTCCGTGTTTTTTTATAATAAATTATTATTGAAATTGTATAATAAATTATTGAAAGAAGTATTAATCATGGTACTATTTTTTTGTGTTTCTAATTTATAGAAATAGTATCAGCAATTTGTAAAGTTGTCTTGCGCAATATATACGGTATATTTTTAAATAATTGTAGTACATTTTATTAATTTTTGTTACTATATTAATAATAGTATATGTAGTATGTACGTACTACGTAATATGTTATTCGGAAAGTCGCGTGTCATTGTTTATATATGTATATATATATTTATATATATAGGTATATGGTTGCTAGGAATAATCTCAATAATGTAATGGATCTCCCATTCTGATATTACGATAATTTTAAGAGGACGCTACACCCGTGTATGTGTTGTCTCCGTCTTACAAGTGCGTAACATTGCAAAAACTGTTTCGCGCGGTAAAGAACCGAGAAAGATACAGTTATAACTAAGAAACGAAATGTTCACCACATAAAAAGGAGAATTTTGTCTGTGCAATATCGTTTTTATTTTTTCRATATCACTTATACAAAAAAAATTCTTATTGTTTAATAATACATTATTTTTGTGTTTATTAAGCATGAATAACTTTTTTTGTAGTTCGGATATCGAAAAAATAAAAACGATATTGCACAGACAAAATTCTCCTTTTTATGTWGTGAAAATTTCTTTTCTTAGTTATAACTGTAGCTTTCTCGGTTCTTTCCCGCGCRAAACAGTTTTTGCAATGTTACGGACGTGTAAGACGGAGACAACACATGCGAGTGTAGCGTCCTTTTAATATAAATCTAAAAATATAATAAACGCTGTATACTCATAAACTCACATATATTATTATACGTTTTGCTAAACAAAAAAAAGACATATTATGCTTTTATTGTAGATTTTTATTATTAAAATGGTTGATTAACTGTGCATCTGTGACTATACTTTTTTAAATTTAATTGTAAGTACAAGGTGAACCTATTTTGGATTATTTCAAAATATTGGGRAAAAATTCCAACGACTCATTATTGTCCTATGATTTTTATAATTTCCACCCCCCCCCTCTTAAAAGTCAGTTATAACCGCCTCTATGTGTTCAATTTACAGAGGCGTAGGTATTTCCAAAGACTAGCGAAGTGTTAACCTTCAGTCCACACTGCTGTACTAACAGGAAGTGATGGCGCGAGTCATCTTTTGGGATATCAGCTGACATATTATCGATGGTTTAARCGTCCACTTAAGGAACCTTCACGGCTTACCGAGAAATGCCATAATTTATGATGTATTTACCATATTATTTTATCACGTAATTTTCCAGTTTTTATCATAAGCCTGTGGTGAACACAAGGTTCGAGTCTATTATAGGATTAAACTCAAATATACGGTATAATATGCAATAAAGGTAARGTGTTAAGAACAAAAATTATGGTTTACCACAGAATAATAACTAGATAACCACATGGTCCACCAATCACAGTTTTAGAATATTTTTCAAAAAGTCACGTTYTACGGTGAGTTGTGAAGGGGCCTTATTGTGGTACCTATTAATTACATTTTGTGAACGTTCAAAACTATCGTCTATATTGAGAGCAAAAACGGCCATAAAACAAATCTTTATTTACATAATCAGGCATGGTTATATATAGACTATTATTCGTAATGTTTAGAAAAAAAAACGTCAACAGGTGATCTACATTGGCTGATGACGATCGTTTCCAATGCATCGTGATTTACAATCACTCTCCACTCAACTYAGTACACGATAAAGTACTTTGTATAATTATAATAATGTTAAGTGCTTAAATATTAGCTACGATATTATATAGTTATGATTTTATGAATAATGAATTATATRTAAAAGTCGATAAAAAAACAAAATAAATTACTATATATATAACATTAGAACAGATAATAATAATATAAGGATTAATACCCACAATAAAATCGATTTATCGTGAGTGTAAATTTGTTTTTTATGTACCATTCGTACCAATTTCATAACTACAACATCATAAATATATTTATAGGTACCCAGCATTACATAAATCACACGAAGACGTATACAAATACTATTGGCTGTYGCACTTTAAGTGCAGAGTTTCGGTATGACTATCTTCATCCAGAACGACTGAACATGCACTCAGCTTGAATTTATTATTTTGTGGAACCTATATAATATTATTATATCTGACTGTACATGCGTCATGTAAGCTAACTAATTGTAAAATCTAGTCAGTCCATTCTACGAAACAAGAGAGCACAATATTTAAATRACACGATAGGTATAGTATTATATATTACAGTTTAATGTTGTACTTTACCATGTAAATGTATTATGACGTTGGTTATGTCCCATGATTCTGAATTCTTTTGATATATTGCCATTATGAGCATGACCAGGACTCTGTTTTTTGTAGTATTGTGATACCTAAAAAAAAAAAATAGTTATTTATCTGTGGAAGATTTGATTACAAAAAAAAAAAAATCTGTGGTGAGATATTTGTATCGGATTAGAACCGAAGTGACAATTAGTCTTAAGTTATGTTACCAGTATAAGTTCATTGATCTAAGGCATTTATTTTAAACATAAACAAAGTCCCAAAGTTAAGACTATAAGATAGGATATTKAATTACATTTAAAATCTTTTTTGTATCGGATTGAAGCACATAATACGCCTCAGAACTAACGTAGGCGAATTCAGGAGAATTAATCAATAATAATGCAATTTTAAAACTCAAATTAAATTTATCCATTTATTTATAGAAAGCRTATTCTTTGAAAAGTTTAGATGACACAAACACTGATGTATACAATAATTTATACTAAACATGAATCTTTTTATCTATTTATATAATAATGAATTAAATTAAAATTCTTCGAATTAAATGGTTTTATTTTTTTACCATATGAAATTCGTTTCATTCTAATTTCAATACTTCAAAGATCAATAGATCTTTGAAGTATTGAAATATTGAGACTTTGAGAGTCGACAGGYATTACAGAATAAAAATTACAATGATATTATTTTTGTAAATATAAACTTATGAAATCATAACCTTTTTTATATGGGATACAGAAATAACAATAATTGAAAAATGAATATTTTATAGTTCTTCGCTGTAAATCGAATAAAAAACRAAGACAAGAAGTGCAAAACTCTTAGATATTTTTTAAATTACTTTTTCATATTTTATGGTATTTTATTTTCTACTCCATGTTAGTCTCATGAAAACGTTAAAGTATTTACTAAATTTGTACTTATTAATAATATATATTTATTWWAAAAAAAAATTGTGAATATATATGATTGGGTTTATTTAATAACTATTATATTCCAACGTTGATGTTTGATTAGGTATTAGCTTATAGTAAGGGTTTATTTAAGTATGGTTTCTAACGTTTGAAAAAATTTAATTCGATGTGCGTTAGTTAATGATAAATCCAAAAAAAAAAAAATCATAATAATTAATAAGACATTATTTTAAGGGTGATTTTTGTTTTTATACTAACATAAGTTGTTTCCGGTGGCACTATAAGGTACGTTTCAATGTTGTGATCCTTTAGAAATGCATTTCTCTCGCCACCATTGCCAGGTTCTACTTGGTAAGCGTTGCCCAAATACTTGAGAGTGTCCGCAGTAATATGTATTCTCCTGTACGCCAAACGACAGTTTTCGTGTTTCAAAAAGCTATATATTATATCGTAAGTGACAAAAAAAAAAAGCGATCTATCTTACCCGGGTATTCCACCACTTTCCATTTGATTCGCCAACGTCACGTCGTTCGACCACACGTCGAACTGCCATTTGCAAAGTCCCAGGACGCCGCAGTGCACACGACCCGAGTGTATTCCTACCCTCATGTTGACGTTAACGTCCATCACGTCCCTCACCAAACTAAACGGTAAAGCAGTATATATAAAAAAAAATCCACTTACGCGAGCCAACACTAAAGATTTTTACTCCTAGTTTTTACTCCGCGCTTTAACGCGGGTGTGCACTCACGTTATAGCGTCGATCATGTCCAAACCCATCTGGACGCAACAGTTGGCGTGGTCCGGCCTGTGCTCGGGCAGACCGCTCACGCAGTAATAACAGTCTCCCAACAGTTTGATTCGCAAACACGCATTTTCTTGAGCCAATCGGTCGAACCTATACACAAACCACCAAGAATATATCAATATAAACTTTTGTCGCTTTTCGTGTCGTATCCGACTACTGTAGTGGATTGTTATATAACGAGTAAAATTCCATGCAATTTTAAGCCGATACGGCGTTTTTCGTATATCACCTCGCAAATAATTCGTTAAGTAGCCTTACGAGCTCTTGAGCTGTACACTGATCGGATAAACTAGTGAAACCGCATATGTCCGCGAACAAAATGCTACAATAAAACAGTATTATAAAAACTTCGTTTAAAACAATATTTTTAATTATATACCTATTTAAAAATCTAAATTACAAATACATTAAAAACACACTTTATTAAAAATGCTGCTTATAAATTTAGATCGGTAAGTACCTACATGTAATTTAGGTACAATGTGTTAAAYAACTAGATTAGTATAATAGTGATGGAGTGATGAGCGTTAAACGTTACCTACGACAATATTCATTGTTTCGTAAACGAATTAATTAAGAGTCAACGGTGGCTTACTGGTTTCATCGGTGAACATAAAAGTGTTTGTATGGACTGCTAAGATAATCATTATGTATATATATAGTAGGTACCAATGGTGTCAGTGAWAACACTACAAGTAGGTGTTTTTGTTTGCAATTTATATAATATGTTGTTTCACTTCTAAAATTTTATATTTAAGATCTCGTTTTCATTTATACTGAAATAACTAATAACAAATTTGGCTTTTAACATTTATTKATATATCCTTCAGTTTTCTATGTTTGAAAACAATGTAATATCCTAAATAAATAAATTATTGTAGAATAGTCTGAAAAAWTTTTTTTATAATATTACTTTAAAAATAATAATTTAACTGCCTCTTGCGATTTTTTTCTGAGAAAAATATTATAATAATATTTGTTCTTTTGTTTTGTTAATTAGTAATAGATTATAAGGTTTTATATTATATAGGTATTTATTTACGATATTCAGTTGATGAAAAAGTKGTTCATAATACATTTAAAATGTATTTAATAAATAGAAGATCGTAAAAATGAATTCTTATAATCTTATATCTTGTTAATCGTTTAATTGGTCATAAATATATCATAAGTGCTTAAGACACGGCTGATAGGGGGTTATCATATACCTACACTATATTATATAATATTTTGATATGATTTATTTTACTTTAGAAAATGAGGGTGGTTAATTGTATACCAATATAAATATTGCTATTTCGTAAATTAAAACAAAATTTACTTTACGTATTAAGTGCATAAATTATAAAATGTAGTTAAACACTTAAATATTGTGACGTTGTTGTTTATAGTATTAACTGTTCTATTTAATTTCAGAATGACGAAGAGCTATAATAATACTATCATTGTAATATTATTATGTAGCGATACACCGATAATTATTGTGGCTTATATTAAGAAAAATATGTTTTTTCAATTATGTTATGACACTAAAGATACCTGACATTCTCGTGCTTTTGTATATAAATCTTGTGGAACATGCTGTCATGACGTTTACCGGCGATGTCAGCCTTCATTTCCATAGCGACATGCCGGGGCAATACTGACAAAAGCAGCCTCTCCTGTTTTTAAAATACTTTGGCGTGTGTATATGAGATGATTTTTAAATTAATTTTTTATCCGTACCTGTTGTTGATTAACTTTTTGCGTAGTCAGTCTCGCCTGGACGCATTGTCTRGTCTCCAAGAATGCTTGTCTCTTTGCCACTTCGTTCGGGTAATGCATCATTACACCAGTCACGTTTGTGCACGCCAACAATAGCAAATTAATAAAACTCTGCAATTAAAAATGTGTTATTTTAGGTTATATTGTATACAAACAGCTGGTGTTGAACTTGTAACCCGAAATTGAGCCTAAAAACCGATTGAGACGGTCAATAGCGTGTTTATTATACCAGTATAAAATAAAAAATATTTGGTCATATGACATCCGAAATTTGGATCGGAAATTATTATTATTACGATTGTTACAATTGGTATTATTATAACGTTAAGATGTGGTCAAACATATTATGTATAATTTACCCCAGGGTAAAATATTTCGTACACATTTTTAATGTCCAAAACAATTTTTAAATATATTTAAAATGTAAAAACAAAATAAAGCTWTATAATATGTATCTTTTAGTTACCTGTTTTGATAGGCCGTGTTCCATTGACAGGGTGAATATTAACTGCGACAACATGAAAATAGTGCCAGCCACAATGGCATACTGTAACTTGACCGGAAGCAAACTGTAAGAAATGTAGACGAACACTAACGTGGGTACGGTGACGGCTTGGGATCTGGTAAGCACGCCGAAAGACAACTCGATCAGCAGGAAAGTGGCTAGCACCACGTAGGAYACGAAACTTAGGTATACTTCGTTCAAYCCGGACCGCGAAACTATGCCTATTATGACTGAAGACAGAGTGCAGACGTACATTATACATCACGTAAATAGTAACTGACTTGAGTGGGGCATACGTATACATAGTCTGGAGATCCAAACTTACCTAGGTAAATAAGTATACAACACAACAGTAGCAAGGAACATTGAACCTGAGTCTCATAGTCGGAAAGGACAACTGCTATGGCCATACACGTAAACAGTATACAGAGCAGCACCAACAAATGGACCATGTGGCTTTGGTTAGTTCGCAGAAAATATCTTTGGTACAACATTTCCACCTGTTGATGACACACTTGCAATAGGTACAATGAGATTCTACAATGTATTTTGAATAAAATTATGTCATATACATTTATATAACTAGGTACTACCTAATCGTTTTATTATTCAATCAGTAAAATTGTCTATAAATAAATGTATTTATATGGTTTCTTATATTATTGACCCAGTAATATTCTGAGTTGAAACAAGTTTCACTGGAGCGTRCACTGCGTAGGAGAAAACGCTTTTGTTCGAATTATTTGGTTAATATTTAGTGTAAAGTGATTTGAGTTAAAATTAATCCAAAGACTACAACCACGGTTATACTAATTAAAAACCAGCATTATATTATTATGCGAATGATTTAATAGTGATAATTTATTCAGTGACATAGAATTCATATATAAATATTAATAACCTAGGGATTATCTTAAGCTTTAATCTTATAAGACGCAATACATACTAATTTTATCCTAAATATTATGCAGTTATTATATTATTATCATTTTAACAGAAGATCATTTATCTATTATACAAGATACTTACATGGTTAAAATTTCATTTTAACAACTATTGCTACTATATTTTTTTCGAAAAAGCACAAATAAAATTATTAAAAAAAATATATATATATATATATATATATATGATACCTAATCAAACTTAACCATGTATCAAACAAAACATAATCAATCAAATAATGATCAATCAAACAATAATCCGTATAATAAATATTGAAAACAATTTACTAATCATTAAATGTCATCCCTTATTGTTGTGAAAAACTAATTAAAAAGAAATATATTAACAAATATCGTATGCACATTATTGAACTAAAGTAAAAAATAATATATCTATAGAAGCGACTAACTATAGATAAATGTCGTTTTAGATATATTTTAAATACTATTTCTAAGTAAACGTTAAATTAAGTAAAAATAAATTGTACTTTTTTCATAGGCGTATAGATGGACGAAATTAAATACCTACCTATATTTAAATGGAATAATATTTTATTTTGTCAGTTATTGTAATTTTGGCTAAAGAATTTACTTTTTACTTGAATGTTTTAAAAAAGTTTCATTATAATTGACTTTTGCCGTTCATTTACAATTAATATGCTTTGTTAGTGAAATTTATTCAGAGCAGGCATTGTAATTTTTATGGGAAAAAAGTTTTCATAAAATATTCGTTGTAGGTAATACTAATTGTGCTTGTGTAGTATAGGTACCTACTTAAAAAATTCAAGCCGACGGTTGAGTAACAAGTTCGGACTTAAAAATTCAAAAAAATAAAATAATAATGATAATGCAACCCCTGACCTGTAAATTATTGAACTGATGGGATGAAGTCAACAGCGTGGTGATCTTTTGGCAACATCCGAGCTTGGAAAAATCGCGTAGAATGTCTCCATTTTCGTCCGACAGACCGGGCACGAACTTGTTGTTGGGTGACAGTGAAACCCTTTCGCACGCGTCTGGCTGCTGATCGGATTCCGAGTAATTGACTGTTTCGCTGGCACCGCGGCTCTTTAACACAACATTTCGTTTTGCCATTCAATATTCACGTCACAGTCGACGAGATCGCGACGACCGCGACGGGAAAACATAATACACGACGTCATATTATAATGATAATATATTAATTAAAAGCGGGTTTGTGATACTTTATAACATCGTTTATTTCAGCAGCTTACTGCGATTCTCACGGCGTACTATTATCTACCACCCATACATACACGTCCTCAACCTCTCCGCTCATGGTAATATTCTGTGCAAAGGTATCGTGTGCGTACGCACAGTATAAACACTGCTGCAGCCGTTCGTGTTTGTTCCGAATGTGCAAGATGCGAAAGAGCTGGTGGGGAAGTAATTACAAGACGTATTATGATACATATATAGGTAGGTAGGTGTGCTAGGTAGGAGAAGGCAATTTTATCGTGTTCATTCGACTGTGCCCTATTTGTGAATAATTACTAATTATTATTTTCGAAAGCGTAATCGTCCAACATTTTAGTTAGTACACTAAATATTATGCCGTTTAAAATATTTAACGATTCAAACGTGGCTTAACGCTGAAACTTGAAACGCACATTAAAACACGCGGGTATCGTAGATTTCAGAAGCACACCAAAACAAATCCTTTGTTTACCAACTAAAATAAATTATATTTAGACTACTTTTTTTACTAGAACATAACATTTAAATATTAGATAATAGGTACCAATAATATGGTAGCAGATATTATACCGACTGGAGTTGCTGCTGGATTATTGAATTTATTATTGCGGGCTTATATTGTAACTGACACTTATTAGACTATAAAATATACGTTGTACATAGTTATTCAAGTACACATTGTTATATAAAAAAAAAAAATACTTTAAAACAACAATAAATATAATCTCAATGTTCAAAATGTAAAATTAATTAATATAGTTAAGTAGTATTAATTTAGATAGGAAATTTGAAACCACAAAATGTGATTTTTCTATAAGTTTACCATGACGAATTACTATATTATTTTGTTTTACCAGCTATATATTATGCTCACTATTTTATACCATGCATGGTCAAACTTTAAAAAATGATTTTGTTTTCATAATTTTTATTGTTAAAACAAGAATATATAGGTATATTATCTGAAATGCTTATTGACAATCAGTGTTAGGACTTATCTAGATAATTATTTTTTATCTTTTATCTTATCTAGATAAATACGTATAACTTATCTAAGTATTTATTTTAGATAAAAATTTTCACTTATCTAGATAAATTTACCAGATAATTTTTTTGGTGAAAATGATGCTGATGTTGGTCAGTTGCTTTATGAATCGAATAGTTCTGATTGTACTAATTTCAATTTACCTGATCACCTGACATATTTAACAAATTTTATATTGTACCTTTAATAAATATTATTAACTAGGTGTATTTTGTTTTTGGTCCACTCGACATCTACTTTACAGCAGGATGACTTCCTCAATTCGTATTTATACCTTTGTTACTCCCTTAGTCCCTTGGCTCTTATTGGCTCTTTATGTAATATACCTATGTTGAAGTTCATGTTTGGTGATACACATGATATAATAAATTAAGTCAAACGTAAAAATTTTATATTCCTAGGCATAAAATTAAAGGACATTAAATATAATATAAATATATTTTTTAAATTAGTTGTTTTAATTTTAATTTTTATAATTATCTGTTATTTATCTAGATAAAATATTTTTATCTTTTATCTTTTTGTTAGATGAATTTTATTTGTTTATCTTTTATCTGTATCTTAGATGAAATTTAGTGTTGTTATCTTTATCTTTATCCAGATGATTTTTTTGTTATCTGTTCCTAACACTGTTGACAATATGCAGGTTCTCCCATCAAACCAGTCTGCTAAAGGCAGTATAATTTTCAAATTATTTACTTTTTTCAAATATAAGTTTTGCAAAATAATTAAGTACTATAATATCAGATAATAAAAATTAGTTCATTAAATAAGATGATTTTATTTATAATTTACCAACAGAAAAAAAGTAAAATTGATTTSCTTGTGTTATTGTTATTTATAATTATAATACAGTAATAATCTTCGAAAATACGATTTAAAAAAAAAAATACCTAGTTACAAAAATTTAAATATTTTAGGAGAACAAAAATAGTGAAGTATTCTGTATATTTTATAAAAAATTTAAATCCTTAAAAGTGGTTAATTATAAAAAAATCTAATTATGTTATGGCTACAATAAATTGTCAATTAAAAAAAGTTTAAACAAAAAAAAATATATACATGATTAAAAACGAATTAATTGATTTTTTTGTTCATCATTACTATAAAATATTATTCAGAGATTTTTACATGGTGGTTTCGACGTCATTAATGGAAATTAAGGAAAAATAACCATAATGTTGATGAACGCAGAATAAATATAAGAAAATCTTGCACACGCATATGTTCTGTGATAATATATTGTAAATATTGTATGTATTATTTTATACCTATTCATTCGGATTGTTGAAGTTAGTTTTATACATTCTCTTATTTATATTGCCTGTTTTTTTTTTCTTTATTGATATTAAAGGCTTCAACAGCTAGGTCATTAGCCTGTGGATGTGGTTACATTATCATTAATGAGTAAATATACAAATAAATAACTAAGTTCTAAATTAAGGTTACGTTACAGTTGTGGTATATGTGGATTTTACAGTGATATTGTTTATTTACAATTGCCTGTTTTATGTGATTGTATTTAATGATTTTACAATATGGATTAAATATTAAAATAATAGTAATTCATGAATTCTAATTAACTGACAATCTTTAGTACCTAATTCTAATTGTATGATAATAGTGAAAGTTCAAATAAATGGWTTAGGAACTTCATTGATAAACAAAAAAAAAAAAATCAATTAAACCATTTTTCATATTTTATTATATGAAGTCACAGAAGGAATCAGTGTTTTTTAATCGAGATAGTAAYAAGTAGGTAGTTAAATTTAAATCGATCACTTACTAATAATTTAGTATTTACATTCTTATACCTTAGAATTCTCGAAATCGCTGATGTACCTGTTATTAATACTTAAAAATGAATTCACCATTTAATAATAATTTGATTTTTTCTGTTTTTGTTTAAGGTTTCATAGTAAAATTTTTAATTTACTTAAGCTATGATATGAACAAAAAAGAATAGTCATGATAATAACTTAACAAAAAACAATTGTTTATCATGTGCAAAATTATGTTGATTTAAAAAAATGAAGCTAACAAAATTGATTACGATCTAAATGTAATTAACATACAGTTACAATGTAATAAAAACAATATAAAATAAATACAAAAAATCTTATATGTACCACACAATTAAATAATCAAACAAAAATTATAACAACGTCGCTTCGAATAATTATTTTAAAAACTGCTTTATATRAAATTGATTTTAATGAATCATATGAAACTGAAATACTTGACACGTGATTTCGAAACACTAATAAATACATACCTATAAGCCATATTAATCTTAAACATGGGACATAACCATCACAAACAATTCTGCCAACCATATAATGTTTTAACTGTTATTTGTATATATTAATAAGTACTTACGACTAGATAGTGATTATTTTTTTATGCTTGATAGTTCAGTAGGCACATTATAAAGAGTTAAAATAAACTTGAATCATCAATTAAAAAATAATTTTGTGAGGTAAAAAGAAACATTACCGATTTATAATACTTCTATATGTGTTATGACACTCAACACTCGCGCGTCTGATATCTTACGAGGTTATGATGAATATATTATGTTAGAAGAATAGTATATTAGAGTGAGTATTACTTACTCAGCTAATCTATCTCTACTCTATCTAATATACARACCCAATCATTATTAGTGTATTTTAATGTTAAAACCACCTAATCCGAACCCTTTCAATTCAAATGTTGGTTTCAGATTTTACTACTAGAATTCTTCTAAGATGTTTTAATTGTCGAGAGATCCGAAATTCAAAATAAATTTTATAATTATTATCAGTGTCATCAGATGATATTTTTTCTTTTAGTCTGCAGTTCATGTTTAATTAATAATTGGCATCTAGTTAATATAAAATATTGAACCACATTTTATGTTTATCACTATGGTGGCTTTGTACTCGAATGATTTATTTGAATTTCGAGTGTTGGATGAAAAATTTGATTTTCAAAGTTTATAACATTTCATTTTCTATATATATATTTCATACGGATGATTCAGATTATTAAAAATAACAATATTGTTCAATAATTCATGCTGTTCATGTAAAAAAAAAAAAAAAAAAATGGTCAGTTTCAAACTTTTAACTTTCAAACCTTCTACTTGTTGGGCCAAATGTATAAGAAGATAGTGCCCTGTATAAATTTGACAGTTTAAAAAACCACGTTATTTAATTAATTATTTATAATAGTTGTGCCTAAAAATAGATAAACCAGATAAATGTATCCGTAATTTTTTTGAAAACGACTGAAAAGTTTTGAAACTTATATCATTGTAGATTGTAAATCCGCCTGTTTTCAATAATCAATTTATATATAGATAGGCTCAATCAGAAACAAAACATTTGGAACACTCTGACTACTCGAAAAAATATGTACCTACACCCAAAACTTTAGCAACAGTAAACCTCAAAAATACTTTTTCTGCACAAAAACTTATACAAAATAAATTTAAAACTGACCAGAAGATTATCTTGGCCTTAAAAAAAATACAAGTAAACTATTGACTCCACAAATATATAGAAAATTATTATAGCGATAAATTGTATAGATAAAATACATCCATCCTTAAGAGACATCAAACGTAAATCTTTTATAACGCTCAATAATATTGTTCACGAACTATCAAATAAAAAATTTTCACGTTAAAACCGACTTTAAGTGATAATTAAGTAAGATAATTTCGTTCTAATTAAGATACAAATCCACTGATTCGTACATATTGTCAAACAGAATTTAACTGTAATAATATCATACTGTATTTTCTTTTTTTTTTAAATGTATACAGAGTGTCCCACAGAGATCTGACAAATGAAATAACTTTTGTTCTAATCAATATTTWAAAAAAATTTCTTTTAAATATAATTCATAGACACTTGCGCTACATTTTTAGAATACATTTTTTATTTTTTTATTCTGAAAATAAAAAACTTAAAATTGTTAAAMAAATTTTTYGAAATATTCAATATAGTCAATTTGTAAATCTGATTTTTAGAAAAATGTATATGGTAAAAACACTTATTTAAGTCAAATGGCTGATTTTTTMCAATTTTTTTAAATATCAATATTAAGTAAATTACGATCTAGTTTATTTTCAGTATTAAAAAATAAAAAATGTATTCTAAAAATGTAGGGCAAGTGACTATGGATTATATTTAAAAGAAATTTTTTTAAAATATTGATTAGAACAAAAGTTATTTCATTTGTCAGAATGTCAGATCTCTTTTGGACACCCTGTATTATAGATATTTATTACTTATTATTAGTATTTATTAAAATATTCAACTTTCCAGTGGACATTTTTTTTTTTTTTTTTTTGATAAAGGTAGACAAACGTATAAGGAATTTAGAATTAAATTTTCAAACCTTAGATTTATATATCTTATAAATTAAAAAGCTTTTCCGTGAAAAGAAATACAATTTAGGAATTTTAATAAGCAAAAACGGCGAATTAATACTAGAAGCTAATCAAAAAGCTAAAAGATGGAAAGAATATCTAGAAAAATTATACGAGCATAATTAAATCATGATATTTGAGGAAAAGAATAATATAAATGAGGAGGATAAAGGAGATTATATCATACATACAGAATTTGATCATGCGATTGACTTCCTTAAAAACAATAAAACGTGTTGATGAAATCCAAGCCGAGTTACTTAAATACACAGACGTAGTTGTTAGAATAGAATCGTACAAAATATGCAATGAAATATATTTAAAGGGAAAAACCATTAGTGATTTCGATAAGGGTGTTGTGGTAATGTTTCCAAAAAAAAAAGAACACAAAAATGTGAAGAGGAGAGAACATTAAACCTCATCACACATGCCTCCAAAATCATAACCAAAATCATCAAAAACAGAATAGATAAAATGATAGAAGAAAATCTGGGTAAAGATCAATTCGGATTTAGAAAAAACATAGGAATCAGGGAGGCAATCTTACACTAAGAGTACTAATTGAAAAACTGATCAGAAGAAACAATAAGATACATTTATAGCCGGTGTCGATTTGGATAAATCGTTTGATAATATAAAGTGGAGTATATTATTCAATACTCTAAAAACAATATTWGCAATTAAGTATTATGACAGAAGATGCATCTATAATTTATACAAAAACCAAACTTTATTAGTACGCATAGATGGAAAAGAAGAAATAGCAAAAATTTAAAAAGATGTACGACAGGGCTGTAACCTATCACCGATGCTATTTAATAAAAAAAAAAACACACACACATCATTGTAAAATCAATACATTCCTTGCTCCGCTTATAATCCAGAAACAGTTTCTCAAAAAATATTAAAATATTTGGGTACACGGTATACTGTCAACAATTACGATACACTTAAATTTATCAGCATATATTTTAGATATTACACGTCTGCAAACAAATTAAGAATAAAATATTGTTATATGACTAACTTGTTGAGTTGAAAATTTTATTTATTTACTCGGCTTTAGTGGAATATATATTACAACAAAAATATTATAACAACTGTGATATCATTCTATTATTATATGAATATTTTTTAACATAATTTTATATAGCATCATAATACATTTTCTCTTTAAAGTTATACATTAACCTTACGGATGAAACTGAAAAAAAAAAGGTTTTTCTCTTTTAGAACCTATTATATTATATTATTCTGTTGTTCGTAAAATTGATTGTAAATGTACTTTTTCCAGGATAATAAAAATGGTGTTTAAAATAAATCACATACATTACTTTTAGAAGAAATTTAATTTATTTGTTTTTGTGTATTTTTTTATAAAGTAATTTTTTTATACAGTTTTTAATAATTCTATTTATTTTGTAAATATTATGTAGGAGTACCTATCKTTATTATTTTCTTTTTGAAACGTAACGTAGGTTGTCAATAATAATAATTGCTTCAGGGATAATCGGTCGTGTCATCTTGCACATCATTATATTGTACACTCGATCGATTATGCATGACATCATAACAAAATATATTGTTGTGGACATAGTTTTTAATTTTAAAGGAAATTAAGAGGAGTAATTAATGTTATTGGTAATTTTAATTTTCATAAAACATCCACAGATCTAGTTATATATATACACTGTAGCAGCGTTTCTGATGTTCTCGAGGGCTTTCGGTGATAATTTATTCAATTACATGGGTATTTCCTTTCGTGCTTATACATATTGCATAACCACCGGGCAAAAGTTCAAAACACACATATATACACATAAAAGGGTACAAGACACACGTCACACACATTAGTGCTCATCAACGTATACTGGTGCGTGATAAGTTAATATAATAAAATATATATATTTATACAAAACTATTCTTGCATTTACCTTGTATCATTTAGCTATCATTGTGGATAGTTTGATTAATATGCTTTTCGAATATATTTTGTGGTATAGTACCTAATTTTGATGTATAGAAAAATTAATATTATAATTTATTAATTTTACCAGCAAAGGAGTTGGCGAGTCAGAAGCTGTGGAAAAATGTTGATAAACCGCCCAATTAGTGCGTCTTTGTGTTTGCGGTGATGATTCCATTTCCGTTATAGACTCTTCTGCTGTTTTGCGGTGCTGTCGAAGGCTCGCCCATTTTTTCGGCGTTCTCTACATAACACAAAATAAAAAAAAAGGTTATTATCATGAATTGTATAAGAGTGAACAGAGCTTTGGTTACGTGTAGGACTCATATTATATAACTATTGGAAATTATGTGATAGTAATCACGATAAGAATATTTAAAATCAAAAATCGTACCTAATAGTTATTTTCACCAYTTAAAATTATTAAATAATCATCAACATTTATTTTTTGCAACTATAACATATAAACAGGGCAATTTTAAATATCAATTTAATACACAATACATGAATGTATATGAATTGTGTATTTCATATTATAATAATATCACCATTTGTAATGTAACTATATTATTATGTTGACGATCATAACTATTCAATTTTGATTAAAATTACAAAATATTATGACTTAAATACTTTAGAAAAATAATTTTATTGATGCATACTTAAACTTTTACTAACATTAATTTCAGTAAAATATTGCAAGATAATAATTATTTTGTAATTTTTAAAAGCACACTATATAATATTGCCGCATATTATACATTTTTACAGACAAATTAATTCTGTTCTTCAGCATTATTAATTATGAAAACAAGATGGTTGTAAAGGTAAAACCGTGGTAAATGTAAAATCCACTATCTTTCTAGTGTATTATGTAAGGGCCGAATGTTTGTATAATAATAACAGTAATCTTCTGGATATGCTCTTCTTCCGGGAATTTAATTCGATTTGATTTTAATCTTTAACTATTTGATAAGCATATCTCAGATTGGTACTATCTAACGACTAATGGCTACCGAAATGCTAGGATTTTGCCATTTAATAATGGTATATTTAACCTTAGCTACATATAACCTATGTATAAAACATATTCTATTTATATAATTTAAGTATTATTTGTGTCTCAAAATAATGTTCTTTATTTTAATTGAATAGTTTCTGAAAAAAAAATGACTGGGATTTTCTGATTTAACACGCAAATTATTCAATGCGCAAGTCTCATATCAAATAATAAAGGCTTGTCTATTATATTTTGGTGACTTTCATTAGTGCACAACATACGTATTATTGGCTTTGTTGTATGTTAAAAAATAACATCGTTTATAATATATCTATAATGGTAAGAATATAATAAAAAATAATAATATAATAATACATGTACAAATATTATATAGTATCAATCGTATCAGATCCGAAAACAAAAAGTTTTATGTGGTCCATCTCATATAGGTAGGTGTTGTAATGTAATTAAAACAATATGGCATTGTTTTACTTTTGATAAGATCTCTTTAAATTGGTATTTTGTTTTTTTTTTCACCCAARTACAATATATAATATATATATATATATGTATACGCACTTTGGGATTCAAGCTGATCCAATTTGGCATTGTCTCTAACGTCGAGATCTTTGAAATTAGATATAATGTTTGGTGAACCGTTTTTTCACCATTAAATCTTGATTTTAGTAACTCGACTAGTCTAACTATAATTAAATGATTGATATCAAGGACAAGCACATTTCAC